CACAATGGCCCCTGGCCATAGTAACATCCTACCCTGCTGGTGGATGCATCTACTATGACAAAGATGGGGATCCCATTTTTGGGATTGATAGGCTTCAGCACCAGGTAGTCTGTAGCCAGGAAAAGAATCTTCTTGAAACAAGTTTCATGCATAGGAGTTACATCATAACTCCTATTTTGGTGTGTCAACAAGGACAACAGCCCAGTGTATTTAGCTACATCTGGGAAATATGGTGCCAGATAGGTCACCATGCTGAGGAAGCACTGCATTCCTTGGGCATCCTTCGGGAACTTTGCATTCTGGATGACGGACATCTTGTCATCATCTGCGTAGACACCCTCATCCATGATCTTGTGTCCAAGACACTCAATCCTGGGAGACAGCAAGTCAACCTTGTCTGCAGACAAGTAAAGCTTCTCTTTTCTTAGGATATCAAAAACTATCCTAAGATTCACAGTGGCTTCACTTAAAGTGGGGCCAATGACAAAAATGTCATCAAGGTAGCAAACTACCTTTCGCATCCAGTGCTCATGCAGGATGTGCATCATCATGTGTTGGAATGACACAGGGAGATTGCAATCCCCTTGTTGGCCAACTTGGCTAACAAACAATCCAAATGGATTTTGAAATGCAGTTTTCCAGACATTGTCTGGGTGCACTTGAAGCATTTCAAACATGTTTTGAAGATCTAATTTAGATCTGAATGGGTGTTGGGCCACCCATCTATGGATCTCATCCTGATCTGGCATCAGTGTAATGTCCTTCACCATGTTCAAGTTTCTCTCTCAACAGTTGACAGTCATTCTAAGTCAACCATTCTGTTTCAGAATACACAGCATGGGCAATGCTTGCTGTGTTTGGGCTGATACCCACCAATTGGCAGCAATGTACCACCAAGTCTTCTCATGAAGCTCATCCCTGAGTACCTCAGGGCAGGCAGGACAACAAGTCCTATACTGTTTTTTATTATCAATTAGATTGATGTAATGATTAACCTCCCTCAAAGGAGGGAGCTGTTGTGGGATCTCACCCATGAGATTCTTAATGTCCTTGATAAGAGTTTCTCTTATCTTTTGTAACATTTCTTCCCCATAGGAAGATAGTGTTTCCCTAGTACCCTTCAGGGCCTGGGGGGTGGATGCTTGTGCTGCGAGCACATGCTTGACCCCAATGTGGTTGGGGTGTTTGACTTCTTTTCTGGAAGCCAGCTTTGTCTTTGGGATGCTGTCCTGTATTCCTATGGATAATGCCTCTCCCAAGGCTATCCATTTCCCCATAGGGCCTCCAAAACGGAGACCTTTTCTACCAAGATCTAACAAGATCTCAAACTTCTTACTGAAAGGCATACCAAGGATCACTTGGTATTTGTCAGTATTGACAACATCAAAGTAGTGTTCCACTACTCTGTCACCAATGTCAATCTTGGCATTAACACTGTACTGAATCACAGTATGACTGCCCCTACTCATCTGTTGTAGGGCAACTGGATTATCCAGTTTAATATATTCCAAGCCATGGGCTTGGATGAAGTCAGCAGAGATTGTATCAATCTCCACACCACTGTCCAGCAGGGCAAATGCAGGGTGCCCAGCGATGCTAATATAGCATTCGATGGGGGATGATGTGGCACTGTCCTGAAGAGGTTGCTCTCTTCCTAGACAGACGGTGCCATCCCTTTGCCAGATCTCTGGTTTTACATCCTTCACAGCTGCAAACTTAGTATGAGCAGATACTGCTCATACCACCGGTAAGCCAACAGGCTTAATTGACATAACCCGCATGTTAGCGGGTATGATGTTCTCTGCTGGGACATCTTCAACATCTTCAATGTTGGCAGACTCATGTATTGGAGGATGATCAAACTCTTCATCCTCCAGGTCATAGTCACCTGTATCATCCTCAGGATGAAGATCATTGGGTTCATCATCTAGACGAGGTCCCATCAACATGGCATGTATGCCATCATCCTTGAGGATGTATTCCAAACCCCCAATCATTTTGGGTGCTGCGAGATGCACACCTCTTTATTGAGGGCAAGTATTTGCCCAATGACCAGACTTGTCACAAATGTAACAAGTCAGGCCTCCCCCAGACTGCAGTTGTTTTGACTTATTGTCAATGGGACAAACATTGTCCCTTTTGACTCCCCCAGATATACCAGGGGTTGGAGGTCTCCTCCCGTAGTTTATGGGATATGTCTCTTTCTTGGGAGTTACTCCCTTCTCCATGGGAGCCCCTCTAGAGGGGGCCAGCT